AGCTTGAGCTGGAGATCGGGCTTGGGTGCGAGTCAGAGGCTGAGCTGGCGCCAGAGCCAGAGCCAGAGCCAGAGCTCTGGCAGAGGGCAGTCAACAAAGCGTTAACATTGCAGCTACAATTTGATTCTCATTTTCATTTTCATTTTCATGTTGAATGCTTGGGACTGGGGTTATTAGCGTCGAGTATGCATGCTACCGTTTACCAATGTTTATTTGTCTAATTTATTGGATCAGCATACAGTTGTTGGCTAAATAGAGCAATCGAAACGGCAACGGCAGCCAGACTGAAGATCTATGCGAGATTAGGCGGCAGGGATTACGAAAGGCGGCAGCTATCTAGTACTCGTTGTAAAGCAGCTCGTCTCTTGAGCGTTGGCGTCGTTGCTGTCTTCAGATTTCAGTTTTCAGTTTTCTGTTTTCAGTTTTCTGTTTTCAGTTTTCAGTGAGTTTTGTAAGATGAGATTTCCATTTTGAATTCATGCCGTTTATTTACTTGTTTCGCCGCCTTTCAAAGCCCTTTGTCGTGCTGAGGAAAAAAGTAGAGAACCGCAAAGAGGGGAGGGGATAGAGAGAGAGAGAGAGAGAGAGAGAGAGAGAGAGAGAGAGAGAGAGAGAGAGAGACGGAGGGAGGATTAGCTGAGGCTATTTGCCGCGCCGCTTAGTTGTTTCACTTTGGTGTTGCCTCATTGCATTTCTAGGTTTATATATTCATATGGCGGCAGCAGAGTTTATTATTTGGCTTTTGCAGCGCCCGGGTCGTGATGCTGCAGCTGGGCAGGAAGCGACATGAATGCGCCGCCAATGGGAGGGGGAGATCGATCAAAAAACACAAGGCAAGCCAAAGCGAGTCAAAGCAAAGACGACACTCGTATAAATAGAAACCACTACAATTGAACCAAATAAATGCGTGTTGTCGAACAAACAAACTGTACAACGGTACGTATACATAACAAGGAATTTTGTGACGTCCTATCCTACAAATGGTATATATGTGTCTAAATGGAACTAGTTAAAACGAGTTAAACATTGGGCTGTTGCTTCACTTGCTGGGAGGAGCGCGTGGCCAACGAGTGTTGCTGGAAATCGGCCAAGATACGACTCTCTGGTATGTCGGTCTCCACACGGCTGCCTACGATGTCGATATCACTCTCATTCTTGTCGAAGAAGATGTCTATGATGATGCGAACGCCTGCGTATGCGGATGAGGATGCGGATGCCGATGCCGATGCCGATGCGGATGCAATAATAGAGTTAGTTGGAGGAAGCTGTTCGGATTTGTTGTCATTTACCCACCCTGTTCGGTGCGTCTAATTGTTGTCTTGCTCTGATATGATTTCTCCACGGATGCGCCGCTCTGGGCATCCGTCTGCGGCGACTGTCGCAGTGATGTCTGATCATTCGCTGTAGTCACGCGAAAGTTGCCCGCTTTCTTGCTGTGTATACGGCTGTGCGATAGACAGATGCATAAGCTCGGGAGCTAAGGATCGTGTACATCCCTACCTGCTGCTGCCGCCGGCATGACCCATACCCGTACCTTCCATACCGGGAATCTTAAGGCATGTCCCGTCGCAGCACTCCTGCTCCGCTTGCTGTTGCTGTTGCTGTGCCAGTTCCAAGTCGCTGAGGTCCATTGATGTTGCGCTCTTGTTGCTGCCGAAATAAATGGACTTGGCGTGCGCCAGCTCCTGGTTCTTTTGCGTCGCGAAATTGTACAGGTTAATCATGTCGCGCACGCGTATGGGCGGCTCCTCTCGTGCATCATCCGAGGCCTCAGTTTCTGGCGGCGCACTCTGTGGTTCAGGGGAGTCTTCGGGGGTGGTATTGTTGCAGCGGTTTACGTCCTCACAGCTCTGAGCGCAACTCGCGTCGGACTTTGTCTCTTTGCTATTCATATTAAATATAAAAGAAATTTCTACAAACTTTTTATGTAAAGTTATTCTTTCAAATGTGAGAACTAAAACAGCTACAACAAATCTAGATTGTGAGTAAGTGCTATGCACAGACTTCCGATTAAAACTTGTAATATTCGTGTGCTCAACGATTGCTCAGTTTCAATTCAATTTCGTATGCATTGAGTACTATATCAGTCTATGTGTCAGTCAATATCAAAGATATGGCTATCTATCAATACCAAAGTGTGTAATGAGCTCGTTAAGGGCTAGGCCAATGTCTTGCATTGCGGCTCATCCACTTGCATCTTCCGCTGGCAAGGTAGGTCATTCGAATACCATTCAGAAGCTATTTAAATCTGTTTCACAAAACCAAAGAAGTATCCCATTGTGCTGGGCAATCGTAATATCATGTACTCTTCGACATTCGGCATTCGCTTCGGCTCCATCTGTTTTGGGTTTTGTTTTTGGTGGCCCCATCTTCAGATCGTTAACAATTACAAACAATAAACAAATGTAAATGTAATTCATATTTGAATTGAATTTACAGCTTAACCTTCGCTGTGGCAATCAAGATCCGAAAACAAAAATCGAAAACCAAATCGAAATCGAAATCGAACCCGCAGCGACTTTTTGTTGGTTATTAGAGAAATTCGAAACGTAATTTGAATGCCGTGGCAATGCGTTGAATTGTCTTAGCGCGGATTTAGTGGAACTGGATGCCCACATGCTCTTAAGTACATATAAGCCACATTTGCTAGTCCCTGCCTGTGTGTGTATGTGTGTGCGTGTGAGTACTCTTGTACGTGTTAATATATTTTGAAATTGGGTGAGCAATGACTTGCAGCAGCATCAAAATTATGTTTATCAGCAGCAGCATCATCATCATCTTCATCATCGTCGTCATCAGCAGCATTAGCGCCACCTCCAATTGGCACACGCTACCAAAAGCCGCTGTTAAGGTCAAGTAATTGCATGCGACATGAGATGATTTCGTTACGGGCAGCATCAGTTAAGATCTGCTGATATGCGTGTAATTTGCCAGATCCAAGCCCAAGGATATACACAAAACATACACCATACTTAATGAGCATCTCAAGATGATCAACTTTCTTACGAATCGGTCTCAAGCACTCCCACTGTGCTTACAAATGTCCCTGAGAGTAATTTAGAGATGGATTATAAATGATGATAGGTGTTCTATATGTAATACCTGAAACCTATACATTTGCTCTACATACGTAGAGTTGCAGTCCTAATGTTATGTGGCTCATTAGCCAGGTCACAATATTAAATTAAAGAACAGTAATCTGAATGCCGAACTTGGTTTCTTGCATATCACGAGTTTGCTCTGCACTTGTTGCTGGCGCATCTCTTGGCAATTAGCGGCGATGTCAACGGGTTCAATGAAAACCAAGTGAAGGTGTGGGGCCTCCAGTTCTCTATGTATGTTGGCTGCAAAGCTTAATCGCTACAAATACTCATTGAACAGAATGTTGCTCCCCAGTTTGCAGCACAGACCACATACCCGAACATGCCGGCGAGGTGTGTCATCGACATCTCCAAGTTCTCTCGACCGAGCTCCGACTGAGGAGGCAGCGGGCAGGGGTGGCAAAGGCGTGTGATTCTATTCAAGGTGGCCTTCAGCTCTACCTGAAAACAATAACAAAAACATAACAACAAGTGTATACGGCGCGTGGATACACTGCTTGAAGAGATTGGGATTGCATAATATGGAGAATAGTTTTTACCGTAGATTCACAATGAGATAATTTCTGTTCCTTTTCCTTGATGGTATATGACTCTATACGACAGATGCTTTAAGGTTAGGGGCAAAGCCTGAATCTAGCCCCGATTCCATTTTTACGAGCTTTATCTGCTCTTATACTTCAATTCTTGTAATAATTAAAATTAAAATTTACTTTTTATTTTTTTATTATTATAATACAAATGGAAAATAAAATGTTTTGATTTGAATATAAAAATTAATGAATGAGAACTATATTTTGTCATTATTATATGAATTGATTTCAATAAACAAACAAATGTTGTATTTTAACATACAAAATAATTCTAATTTCTTAATTTTGTCTATACAAATTAAAACCGTTGCGGTGCCTGCTATTAAATATCTTGACTTTTGAGTTCTATTGAACATACTAAATAAAAATTGTATTTGAATCTATGGAACTAAACAAGATACTATCGAATTTAGTTCAGTTTGTTTTTTAATAAACTACCCAATGCATTATTAAAATTATAAGCTAACTACGATGTAAACAGAAGATAGTAATTTTAAATGAGTTGCGTTTTGAGCACCCTTCATATCCATATAACTACTGATACATGGATTCACAAGTCTTTTACATATTCTTCTTATATTCCTATTCTTCTTATTCTAATACTCTTTGACATATGGCCTCCTTAAAACTTGTTTCCCAGATTACAGAGTATTAGAAGCGAATACAATGACTGCTTGCCATTTATTTAAGCTCATTTGCCGAACTTCTTCTCGTTTCGTTCGTGCCCAATGGGCAGCATACATATGTTTAATTGCTAAATTGGTGCAATTCGGCATAATTCATGTTGATAGTTTACGTCTTGTTTCGGTTTTTTCAGTTTTCAGTTTTTGTTTTGAATTTGGCAAGGTCCCATTGAATCGGCCCAACAATAACCAGCAACAAAAAGAAGCACAGATTCACACGTTGATTAAAATTGTTTAACGCGACATAAAGACACAAAGCCGCGGGCCAAGCGCTGCTTCTGAGCATGAAAAATGAAAGTATTTGTGGAGTAGCCAAGTGATGCTGGCTTCAGATGTGGCCTGACGATGTGTACATATGTGCCTGGCATATATCGCTGATAACAGTTAAGAGTGAACAGTTAACAGCCCACAGCTGGCACCAGTTAGCAGATTGTCAATTATTGCGTATACGCCCCAACAAGCGACAATGGGCTGGAATTGAATGGCGCACATAATGAATAGCGACTAACGAACAACGTGTGTAATGAGGTGTGCTCAATTGCCTGGCGATTACGCGTATGCCTAGTTAAAAGTAATATAAATATACACTCGGAAAAACAAAGAGCAACAAAGAGATTTTCGATTTCAATTTAATTTCTATACAATATATAGAAAGTAAGTGAGAGAAAGATTGTGACAGGTGGAATATATGTGTGTGTGTGTGTGAGAGAGAGAGAGAGAGAGAGAGAGAGAGAGAGAGAGAGA